CCGACTTCTCCTTCAGTGACCCTTGCGTCCCTGCCCCTTGAGCAGTGCTGCCACCCTGCCAGTTTGTTGGCTTGAATGCCATGAGTTGTGGAGTCCTGTTCTTGGAGGACACCTCTTAATAGCCTCAAAGCCGCACCTGTGCTTGGTGTCTGCTCCGAAATGTACATTAGGGTTTGTCTATGCTACCGGACAGCTCGATGGGCAGCAATCGATTCAGCAGGTGTCGATTTATCACATCTCGTGTAGTACATTGACTTCAGCTACTTATTCCCGTAGCTGATATTGCGTAACTTAGATCCATCCCCCCCGATAGCGTAGACCAGCCCTTAGCTTTGTGTTCAAAGACTATCCCTTGTTGTTCTCTGTCTCTTCCTCCCACGTTTCCCCTCCCCAGACTTGCCAGCCCCTGGCAGGAAGGAGGACCCTGAAGTGAAGCGAGAGTGCCTGTACCAGCAGAGTCATTCTTACGTGGAGATGACCCAGCGGCTGCAGAAAGCCTGTAGTCTGCTGAAGGAGAAATGCGAAGAGCTGAAGCAGGCGGGCGTGACTTTGGAACAGAACGTCATGGAAATTAGGGAAAAGGCTTTGTGAGGCGGTTTGGTCTTTGAGGAGACTGGGCTGGCTTTTTGTCTATGCTCCTGGAGGGCCTGCCCTCGACAATAAAAAGCCCCCCCTCCTAGTCCTGAACCAATGCTCAATGTGGCTCAGATTTTCACAGACCTCCCCAGGGTGGCGTCTTGCTTTGGAATCCAAATCCGAAGCCCAGAAAGCCACCCACCCACGTAACGCCGGCGTGTGCTTTGATTTAATGGAGGATCTGGAGCTACTGCTGGCATGACGTCCCCCATCCCCTCTGGGTTTACATATGACTTCTCCCTCTGGTACTGCCCCCACGACGATGAAATTGCGTCCTGCATCTCCGCCATGCTGCACGAGCAAGGCTTCCGGGGTTACGCCGAGCACCAGGACCAGGTGGCAGGCACCTCCGTCCTCATGACGGCCACCGAGGTCATCCAGGCGAGCAGGGTCGCTATCGTCATCCTGTCGGCCCGGTCGCTGGCGGACCCCTGGTGTCAGCGCGTCTTGGAGTGGAACCTGCACCATGTGATCGAGCAGGAGGGGACGAAGATGATCCCGGTGTACGTGGACGTCAAGAAAGAGCAGGTGCCATTGGTGTTAAGGCATCTGAATGAACTCTGCTACAAACAAGCCTTCTTTAAGCGGAGGCTGCTGGAGAGCTTGAAAGCCCTCAGGCCTCCCGCTGGCCGAGCGAGGGCCGAGCGCGCCTCCAAAGCGACCTGTGTGAAAAGCAGGGTCAGCCGATAGCAAGTGGGGCTAAGTACAGGTGGGACCTCCCTGGTCCGGCACCCTTGCGACCTGACTGGTACCGGATGAGGGATTTTGCCAGACCAAGGGAGGTCATTTCTGGCCCCATCCCCTGTCTTGCACCTCCCTCCCCACTGGCTTCCTCCTGCCCCATCCCAGTTGAGCCACATGCTGGCTCCCGGGCCCCACCCTTCCCCAGCCCAGCTGAGCTGTATGCCAGGCTCTCCGCCCCCAGCTGAGCCCCAGATGTGCTGTGCATCCCTCCCCCACCACAGTGCACCGTGCAGGAATCCCATCCCCCGCAGTGCGCTGGAACTCTCTGATCCTGGAACATCTGTGGGCTGCCGGACCAGAGAGTCCCGGTTTATAGAGATGCTGCTTGTAGCTGCTGGGCGGAGCTTGGACTGATCCTGGCGGACTTGGCTTTGCTTCCAGCCGGGAGTGCAGCGACATGTCTCGGCCTGTTTGTCTGCCACCCGGTGTCTGCCGTGGGCCCTGTGGCAGCGCTGGCGGGCTCTGGAGGTGAACTGACCTGCCTGGCTTTGTGCCTGGACTCGGCCGCAAGACTACTTAGAAAATAAAGTGGTTGGTCGGCAGCGGGAGGCTGCTGTTAAAATGCCCCGGGCCTGGCTGCCCCTGTCATAAATCTCATGATTGAAGTTCTGATTAAAATCCACTCCTCCAAAAACGGCAGCGATGAGTCTTTGTTACAAGCTCGTTACTGGAGATGGGCTGAATATGGATGAATTCGGGCCTGCTGGGCTTTGTTTTTAGCTTGAGGCACACCCAGGACTGTGTCACCTCTCAATGCTTTGCTATCTGGGTGCAGCTCACACCAAGCCACCGGGGCTGTCCGCACTAGCTCTTCCCAGTGTGGATAGCCGTGCTGGGCAATGTCCCTAAAACTGCTGGTGTAAAGGAGGCCTGGGCCTCAGTTTCTTTCCATCTGTGAAATGGGCGTAAGAATGTTTGGCCTATGTTGAGGTAGGGGAGGGGAGTTGTGAGCACTAGTTAATAGGGATGTAAAATGATTAGCTGGTAAGCAAACCAGTAGGCATGGGGTTTACCAGTATGCTTACCGGATTACCGGCCCTTTCCAGTGAACTAGCCCTGGCCATGAAGGGACCGGCAGGCTGGGTGGCAGGACCCCGCGGTCGAGACGGGACCTAAGTTAACCGTTTTAACATCCCAGCTGGTTAAAGTCTGTGAAGTCGTTGGAAGTAATAATAACCCTTAGCCCTGACGTAGCACTTTTCAGTAGCAGATCTGAAAGCAAGTCAGTCGCCTTATCCCCGTTTTGTAGATGGGGAAACTGAGGCACAGAGATGGGGGTGTGATTTGCACGAGGCCCCAACTAGTGGAAGAGCTGGGCATAGAACTGAGTCCCATTGTGGGACTCAGCTAAAGGGGCTGAGGGTTACAGAGTTGCCCAGTGCTGGGGACCCAAAGCCCAGGAAGGGCAAGGTGGTGGGTTCAAGTCCCCCCCGCTCCCGGTGCAATGGGATGGGAGCCCTTTCCTCCGGTGTCTGCTAGCGCATCAGCCTTGGCTCCATCAGAATTTGGTCCCAGGGCTCTCGTGCTGCTGGTGGGGAGGCTGAGGCTTCTGTTTTACCTCTCCGAAAGGCCGCAGCCCGGCACCGGGAGAGGAGCTGCCTTCTTCCCTGCGTCTCGCACAGACGCGGTGTCTCCCCCGGGCAGCCGGCAGGGGAGGCGGTCTCAGGGCGGGTTGCCGTCAATCAGGTAAGCAGCGGCAAAAAGGAACTTTATCTCGACACTGGCCAGGACTGTGCCGTGGCTGGGTGTGACAAGGTGGCCGGTTGGGCCAGAGGCTCTAGCAGAGCTACAGATCTAGGGGGATGGTTCTGGATGTGTCGTCTAGGGTCTTTCTGCAGCTGGTTGGGCCTAACGCCGTGATCCTGCTCTCTCAGTGCGATAGGCGTGGGGTTAAAAGTGGCAGGAAATGCCACCAGCTGCAGTTGTCCTCAGACCGGGTCAGACCAAAGGCCCATCTAGCCCGGCGTCCTGTCTGCCGCCAGTGGCCGATGCCAGAGGGAGCGAACAGAACAGGGAGCGATTCCTCCCCGGTCGCCTATTCCCAGCCCCTGGCACACAGAGCCGAGGGACACCCAGCCTGGCTCACAGCCACGGACCTGTCCTCCATGAATGTATCTAGCTCTTTTTGGAACCCCGTCCAGTGGCCGATGCCAGAGGGAGCGAACAGAACAGGGAGCGATTCCTCCCCGGTCGCCTATTCCCAGCCCCTGGCACACAGAGCCGAGGGACACCCAGCCTGGCTCACAGCCACGGACCTGTCCTCCATGAATGTATCTAGCTCTTTTTGGAACCCCGTTAAAGTCTGGGTCTTCCCGACATGTCTCGGTGACGGTGGGGGTGAGGAGAGCAGTTTACTTTTCTTGTTTCTGTCCGGGCGTGTGGGCTGGGGGAATTGGCCGGGGGGGCGGGGGGAATGTCACAGTGGTGTGACTCCCAGGGCTTGTACTGCACCACACTTGTTTTTCACACTCCCCTCCCAGTCCCTGCACGGCTCCACCTGCGCCTCTGCTCTGCAAACCTCCCACCTCCGCCCCCCAGAGCCCTTCCTGCAGCTGCTGAGGGGGAGCGAATGAGTTCAGAGAGAGCAGGGTACATAACCCAGAGCGGAAACACACCCCTGGCAGAAGCAATGGGGCAACGGCTGCAGATGGCTCCGTGGGGCAGCAGCCTGAGGGCAGATGGGAAATGGCTCTTCCTGGTGCTGTTGCTTCTTCCCATTGGGCATGCTGGTGAGTGGGGGGCAGGAGGGGGAGAGGTGGCCTTGTGGAGTGGCTCGGCGGAGGGGCGCACTGGGGGGCTGGATTCTGTTCCTCGCTCTGCCCCTAATTTGAATGGGCGCCGCTAAACCATTTATCAGTCGCTCCCTGCCTCAGTTTCCCCACCAGTGGGAAATGGGTTTTGCTTTACTCTGAAACACCCAATAGCAGCAGTCGCCTGCAATTGGAGGGCGAATAGATACGTGGTTTACCGGTTGGGTTTTGCCTTACTCTGAAGCACCCAATAGCAGCAGTCACCTGCACTTGGAGGGCGAATAGATACGTGGTTTACCGGGGCTGATGGAGAATCTGAGGCTACTGATGATCCCTATGGCTGGGGCGTGCTACTTACGGGCTTCAGGGCATATACATCTCAGGGTACAGCTGGAGCCTCTGGAACATGGATCCGTTCCAGTGTGGTAATCCCGGGAGTAGGACCCGCCTCCCTTTCCAGGGCCGGAGGGAGCGGGGGCGGGGAGGGGATGGCCCTGCGTTTGTCTGGCTCCCCAGTCTCCCTGCAAGGGGTGCATCATGCCCTTGCTTTGCAGCAGGCCAGCTCCAATCGTCCATCATCGGCGGGGAGGAAGCAGAACCTCACTCCAGACCCTACATGGTGTCCGTCCAGTTCGGAGACATGCACAGATGTGGGGGAGCCCTGATCCATGTGCGCTGGGTGCTGACGGCTGCGCATTGCTACCCGTGAGAGCAGCACCCACACCTGGCTGGGGAGGGGCGTGGCGGCGCTGGTCTGGGGTGGCAATTGGCTAGCCAAGCCCTGCCTTCTGCTGGGGCTGCTGTGTTGTCGCAGGGGCAAATAGCGAATCCTCATTCCGTGCCCCTGGGGGAAAAGCCCCCATGCTGGCTAAGGGGTGGGGAGGGCCATGTTTGCTGATAACTTGCAGGAATCTCACGAAACCAGCAGGGCAGCAAACCAGAACGGTGAAGACGCGGTCAGATGTCTGGCGGGTTTAGAGTCCGGCCAGGAATGGGGGAATCGGCTGCAAGTGGAATCTTTCTTTTGCCTTCTGTAGGAAGCAGGTCAGAACTCGAGGGAGGGTCTGGTGGTTCAAAGCCGGACCCGGAGTCAGGACTTGAGTTCTTTCTCCAGCTCCTCCGTGGCCTGGGGCAACATTTTTCAAAGGGGACCTCAGTTTGCCCTGCGGGGGTCTGATTTTCAGAGGCAGCCCCTCCAGCTCCAGAGGAATCCGGCCCAAAGGTGCAGCTAGGTCTGGGGGCCCCACAAAAGTGGCCCGAATGGCCTGACTTTCCCAGGTATTCAGGCACGTAATGGAAATGAGACCCCTAAATACTTCTCAAGGTCTGGTCCAAGGTGCCTGCCTCTGACATGTGCCCCACGTACAGGAGGCCTCTGTGCCCACAGCTGCTGCCTCAGCCTTCCACATGCCAGGGGCACGCCAGTGGGAGAGGTGGTGGGCAGGAGCCAGGGAACCGTGCCCCGCCGGAAAGCCCCCTTGGTCTCTGGCAACAGGCTCAGCTTGGTGCCCCCCGGGCGGTGTTTCCGCTGGGGGTGGCAGGTTTCTGCGGGGATGCTGCTCATGCTGGGTGGCTTCCTTTTGTGCCGCAGCCCGAGCGAACTTCCCATCTGGGTGGTGGCGGGTCTCCAGCAGCAGCCCAGGGACAATGGCACAGAGCAGCGCTTCTCTGTCGTGAAGTCTGTCCTGCACCCTTCCTACGACCGCACGACCATGGCAAACGACATCATGCTGCTTAAGGTACATGGGCTCTAGCGTCCGCTCCCGGGGGCTGATCCGACCAGGCTGCCTGGCTAGGGCAGTGGGGTAGGAATTCAGTTCCTGCTCTGCGGTTTTGTGGTCTTGGGCAGCTTGTGGTGCCCCTGCCTGCCTCAGTTTCCCCCGCCTGCAAAATGGAGGTAGTAACAATCCCTACCGCTGATCGCCAGTGGATCTCAAAGCGCTTTCCAAAGACAAGCGGAGTTCCCACCCTCCTTTTACTGATGGGGAAACCGAGGCACAGAGAGGCGGGAAAGTGATCTGCCTAAGGCCACCCAGAGCATCAGTGGCAGAGGCTGGACGAGCCCACACTTGGCCTGAGTTCCAGCCGGTGCTCTAGCCACGCTGCTAATGATGCTGGTCTTTCCTTTGTGGCTGGAAAGTGCTGTGTCGGGGCCCTCTGAGCCAAGCGGCGTAGGACTTACCGTAAGCTTTCCGTCCCCCTACCCTGAGAGAGAGGAAAGAAGGTTGAGTGGGGTGGAGCCGGGGGAGGGGCCTCTCCGGCTGCAGATGCAAGGTGAGACTCCGAAGTGTGAAACTATCTAACCCGTACAGGAAATCTTTAACCCCAGCAGGGCTCTCTGGGCCGCCTTGAGTCATCCTCGGCTCATCCCACGGCCTGAGTGTGCAGCCCGGCCTTGCTTTGTTAAAACTTTCCCCCAGAGTCTGGCCTCTTGAACGGAGCTAAGGGCATTTCCCCTTGTTCCCGGAGGCTGAGGCAGGCCAGCAGTAAACACCGCAGAGGGTGCAGCCAGTGGGGAGGGCAGGTACTTCGGAGACTCCTAGATTCTGGGCTGCTCTAGCTGGGGCTGGAGCAGTGTGGGTGGGGCTGAGCACAGCCCAGGAGGCTGCTTGGATTTAGGGCCACCCTAGGCTGCCTGTGGGCTGCTCAGTCCTCCCAGGCCGAGGTCTGTGCGAGGAATTCCCCATGGATCCCGTGGCACAAAGCGGCCTGAGACAAGCCAGGCATGGCTGGTGGGGGAGGGGAGGGGGTCAGTCTCCGTGTTTCTCAAACCTTCTCGGGTTGTGGGCCCCCATCCCCCGTTCGCCCCTGCTGGTACCTCCTCTCCACCCCCACAGGTG